GTAAATACAAATATAAGAAACGTACAGCGAATACTTAATAAAGCAAAACACATTCAAAAAAAAAAATTGAAAGGTAAGCCGCCGTTAACACCACAGCATGTAGGGGATAGAATGAACTTTGTTCGTGAACACACCAGATGGAGGAAATAGCGGCGAAATGTCATCTTCATTGATGAAAAGAGATTTAATTTGGATGGGCCGGATGGCTGGTCTTATCACTTTCACGATTTGAGGAAAAAGTGAGGTTGTTGAAATAAGGCGACATGTAGGTGGAGGAGCCATTACGTTATGGACAGGAATTGGATATCGTGGTAATCCCAACATAAGGTTTATCGATCAAAAAATGAATAGTGCCACTTATATGAAACTTATACATGAAGAAATTGAAACGTATGCTGTCCTCATTGCTGGTGGAAAATTCATTTTTCAATAGGACAATGCAGCTGTCCATACAGCAGAAATCGTTAAAGACTATTTTTTAAAGAAATAACATAAATGTTTTACAATGGCCGTCAAGATCTCCGAATCTATATAGGAAGCCGGATCTATATATCGCGGAATGTATATAGGCATGGGAGACAATTTAATTCGGTAAATGAGTTAAAAATAGTGATAGGGCAAAAATGGAGAATAACATCCAAAAAATTTATAAAATCTTTGTATAAATCTTTACCTAAATGTATGTTAGAAGTCACTGAAAAGAAGGGAAAGTGGACACATTATTAGTTACAGATTAACATAAGATTTTTGTAATGTATTAAAGTTTTTATATAAATTACTAAACCTGTCCTGTCCATTTGTCATACATGTTTTTCACATAAACCGATAAAGTAGAAAGAAATGAGTGTAAACAGCGGCTGACTTTTTCATAAGTTACTGAAGAAACGATATTCTTTGCGTTAGTGCATATACAATTTTTGTATATTGCATGGAACTTATAAAACACCAAAAATCTGGGGGTGTCATATCATTTCGTCGCGGAGTATATAAAGGACACTTCTTCTTCGCTTTTCCTTACAAGGGAAGTTATCAAACTCGGAAATTCAGAAAATTGTGAAATTTTGTGTGTAAGTAGGGTAAGTCAAGTCTATCTAATACACTGAAGTTTTTGTTCGTGCCGAATTTCACTTTAAAGGGGTGAAACCACCCCCTGAAAAAGATTTCACATTGTTCTTGAAACCGGTGTCGTCATTATGGCGACATGTTTTTTTCTGAGTACTGTGTTATTTTACAATCGAAAGGTACTGTATTTATTATTCTTTACAGAACTTATGTTCAACAAAACACATTAATTTCAGCAAATTTTTAATATCCATACATTTATTATAAACCACCTATAAAAAAATAACTTTGAAAGTATATATATACACACATATTTGCTTCGACTAGTTGGCACTGTCACCAGAAAAATGTGCCAATCGTAACGGGTTAAAACATTTGCATCAACCCAATAATGATCAGAATTTCCAGAAACGCATTAAAAACTGTACGAATTATTGTATTGGCAAGTCCTCTTGCAGTTTTATCAACGACAATGCATGATCCGATACTTTCGATGGGCCCCGTGAATTAATTTGATACGTATATCCGCGTAACGAGTAACAACCTGAGAACCTTCCACCGGTCACATTCATCGGCGGAAGAACAGATTGAACAATCCCAATCGTGACAATGGCGTCGTTCTAAAGCGCGTCTCCGTCCGTGAGGCGTCCTCCTGCGCTGAAGTAGTTATTCAAATGACCACTCTTATCGAATTCTTGGCGAATTCTTGGTGAACGCGAAGGACCCACGCAGGTTATCCGCGGCATATCCGCTCGGTGCTTCCGCGCGTTCGCATAAAAACACAAACGGTGAAAAAAAGGAAAAGAAAAAGGTCGCGGGGATCGTACTTTCCTTTCCGTACGAGTGGCTCGCCGGTAATACGAGACCAGATAACACACGATGTGAACGTAGCATAATCTTCCAAGCGTTACGACCCAGGCAAACTGGGCTAACAGTTCCCAGGCCGCAAAGAAGTGATTCTCCGTCACGAAACAGTATACCTCGGTACACACATAAGTGCATACGGGAGCATGTATCGGCACATGTGTAAAGAAGACTCAGCCGAAGGAGCGCTCGATTCTTTCGTCGAGCTCGTTCCTCGAATCTGTCGAACATGTCCTTGCCAGTGGACGATCTTCAGCTTTTATCTTTCTGTTTTTCTTCCTCCGCAGTAATTGAAACAGGCAAATTGACCTCTTGCCGAGTAATGATCAGCGAGACTGGCAGTGAAGATTTCTACCTCGATTGAATACCAATCAATATTATTCCTTACATGAAGATCGAAGTAAATGTTATTTTGCTGTTATTAATGTTTTACTTCCAAAGTAAATATGCAATTGAATAGAAGATTCCTTTGTGTTCTTACATAATAGTAATAGTCAAATTTTGATGAACTTAGTCGTGAATAAAATTGTGTGGTAAGAGAATCGTTTGAATCACGTGTCTAAGTTCAGATTGATTTGGACTCTTGTCGATTTCTTACAATATATACTTTGGTACACATTTGTAGTCACAGTATTGTCAGTTTATTGTATTTATACACTATTATGTTAATTCGAAGCAGTTTTTAGGAAATAAAATATTCTTAGCATAACTTCATTATGGAAGTAGTTATAACAGATAATGTTTAAATAACAGACATTTGGACGGTATAATATGGAGTTAAAACTTCATTTTTATAGGTAGGTGTACATCGAACAAACTTTAGTGAGTAGCTATATTCGGTAACAGGCGGAAGAAAATGTAGGAAGTGATTTTTTATAAGAATATAAATTGAAAATCAACGATAAAAGAATTGCGGTTTCGATTTCGTTTGTAACTCATTAACAAGTAAACTAACAATTCGTTTAATAATAGTGCGCGTGAGACAGATCAGTGCGAGTAAGGATATTGACGGAGAGCTGACTTATGCGACCTTATTAGTGGATTTGTAGTTGTTAGTAACTGGAAGATAAAATTAAAACTGCAGTTTCTTATTTTCGATTTTTATGTTATATTATCCTAAATCATTCCTTGAAGTTTTTACATATTACTGAATGACTCTTTATCATTTACGTTGTAATTTTCGAAGTGTTAATTCGTAGTCGCCAGATAAATTTGTAAAATTTTCTTTTCTCTATTCAATTCGGAACAAACCAGTAATTTTCAAATTGTTTTTCGTGCAAAAACAAAAATGTTTAATTATTTTACTATTATATCATTTTATATGTATAATATATCTTCCTTGCTTTACCTCCCAAATTATTTTACTAAAATTTTCTGGAAGAAAGTTCTTAGTTCTTTCGTTCTACTTTAACAATTTTCTATGGGTTAGATACCGTACAAAAGCGTACTGAGTTATTAAGGGTTAATAAACATATGGGATGTCCTACCACTTTAATGAGTAAACCGAGAGGAAAGAGTCGATAACTTCGAAAAACTATTTTAGCAGATAATAATCGCGACATGGAGCGTGCCAGAGTCTATTAAGCGGGGAGTACTGCAAAAATACCAACCTCGAATTTAAAACTGCATGCTTTTGTTAAATATATGAATATTAAATTTGCCGAATTCCTTAAATAAATATATTAAACATATGTTTATTATCTTGAATAAAATTAAATACTTACGTTAAACAAAATTACTAATTTAATTATTACAAACAAATTTCAGTTATTTAAAATTATCTTTTTATATTATAATATATCATTTAATGAAATTTGTTTATTTTAAAATAAATTATAACAGTCTACTACATGTACCACGACTACATTCGATTTCTATTTATTTAGCTCACGAGAGTGTTAAATGCCCAGTTAATTCGATATTTTCTAAGAGGCGAAGAGAATTGTTTACACGAAATAGTCGAGAGCAGACATAAAAGAATACGCGAAATTATATTGTATATACGCCTCTGATCGTATTAAGACAATCATTCGTCCCACAGGAATGAAGGCTTTTAAATTACACGGAATAACAATAATTATGGCGAAACATCAAACGAAAAAACCAGGTTAAAAATTCGAGAGTATTAAAGTAATAATATTATTCGAGCCAGATAATTTTATCTTCTGACCGAACGTTTCAGAACTCGACATACGATCCCGAGTTTTATTTGTGTCCGTTGAAATTTATATAACTATTGCTCCGGAATTAATTATATCTGCGAATAGTTTTCCATGTTTCCGTGGAACCGCAATCGTATCGTAAATTTCAATTACAACGAATGTGCAACATCTTTTTTTCTTCGCCTCTTAGAAAGCCACGTAAGTTGTTCAATTCTTTTCATCATCGGAATATTATTTTCACTTCCTCTGTTCGAAGCAAGAAACAAGATAGTTTCAGAATTTACCCAATGCCGCATATTAAACGCTTGTCTATATGTTCTATTAACCTCTGGGTATTATAATCCTCTTACAAGCTTTTCGCGATTCCATTTCGACTTTCTCCGGCCGTGCTAACGCGTTTAGCGCTTAGTGCGCCTGAGAGATTGCTTCTCTGACGGACCAGGCTACATTTAAATGATTCGATCGACTGGACCGCTGAAAAATCCTGTGCCGCGACGTTATTTTCAAAGATATTTATTAACGTGAAAGCCAACGAAGGACAGTCGTTCAGTAAAGTTCCATTGTATACCTTTGTGAAACGTTACATCGGCGATATGTACTGTTCATATAATAATTCACGAATGTTTCTAATAAATACATGATTTGTTTCAAAATCTCCCAAACTGAAATGAAACTCACCAAACTGTTCATATTGTAATTATCGCTTTATAAATTGATTACTTAACACTAAAACTACCCTACCCGTCAAAATGTTTTGATTAGTGTGTTTGAATTAGTATATTTATAGATATTAAATATGACCCATTTGATTTCTGTGTACACGGACAAAAACGGTGAAAAAAAGGAAAAAATATATATTTCATATTTCAGAAAGGTGCAAGAGTTAAACCAGATTCTAAACTGCTGTTACAGGGAGGAAACGATGTGAAGGAACTATGCAAAAATGAATGGAAACATATTTACTACATGCATTTACTATATTATACCTATACAGTAAGTACGAAGAAACAAATGAGTATTTATTATAGCCTACTCTTCGAATAAATATACGCCATAAAGGGTAACTTCTTAATAGGTGCTAAATTATAGAGATATTACTATCTGCATAATTTGAAGAACGATACAAATTATAACTTCCACCTGATCACTTTAAGATCTCGAAAAAGTATTGGAATGTAGCAGGGCATGTAATTTCATAAATCATTATGTCACATTGAGGGGTGAATAGAACGTTGTTAATAATAAATCTACTTTGAAAAGAAACTTTCAAATAAAAACAGAACTGAACAGAATCTGATTGCCTTTCATATGAAAAGTTCCAATAAAATTCTAAGAGATAAAGTGAAACAAGCTTCAGGTATTTTCAATAAACATTCAACGATAAGTGCTTCTTTTAAGCAGGTTATAAATTATCTTAGATAAATTTTTCATTATCATTTTAGTTTATGAATGAAAAGAACAACTGTGAAAGTATTTCTCAAGTCAAGATATAAAAAAGAATTTATAATGGTAACAAGAAAATAAAGATTATAAATAATCTTTAGTGCCTTTCCGACTCGTTTCAATTTAATACAAATCTGAATGGAGCAGATACATCTCAATTGAATTTCCGTTTTAAGGCTAGCATGTAGAAATGTAAACGTGAATAAATATGCGCGTGCAGTTACGGCTTCTATGAAATACAAGATACTATACTTGTCCCAGTTAAAGTCTAAAATTTTATTATTAGAAGATATAGGCTCCTAAATCTCACGATGTTGTATTATTATGTATCCCCTTGACTATCCGCTTCTCCATTCCGCTCCTTTCTGAATATTTATGTTATGTTATGTTTCCTTTAACGATCCGACCGTTACCAGTCTACGGAAAAATTTACAATGACAACGGAGAGTATCTTCGTTTAGTGCAAGTCAATGTGTATTAGCGAGACACGTTTGTACAGGGATTGACAAGTAGGTCGAATGTGAAATGGATCTGGACAACGAGAGGTTCGATTTTTTTTCGTATAAAAATCTTGAATTTAGAATACACATTTTCGATGTGAATAATTGTAGCTGCAATTTTAACGTGTATAGGGTGAACTAATGGGAGTGAGATCATCTTCGTTTACACTTGTAGATATACGAAAGAAATTGTTTAAAGCCCTAGTAAACACTCAAGATCATGTTTAACCCCTTACTGTATAATAAAGTCGAAGACCCGCGGTGAAGATTTTGGTTTTGCTCAATAAAAATCAATGTTATTCATCGCATGTAAGTTGAAGTAAAAAACTGTTTTTCTACTAATAATATTTTACTTTCAAAGTAATTACGTATTTACTTCGAATGAACAAAAAATTCCTGCGTTCTCTCAAATTATTAACAGTAAACTCAATTTGACGAATGTACCGTGAATAAAATAATACAACGAAAGGACACGAAACTTTAATATCAAGTATATTTATTTTCTATCGTTTCCGAATTGCTTGAAAACAATCCCGATAAGAAATTCCATATCGACTCAAAATATTTAATAACATAACTAGTAGGTAGATAATAGCGTGACATGAGTATTGCGACACGAAATCATTAATAAATATTTCGAATACAATTTGCCTCTGTTATGGCAGAAGGAATATACCTACTATTATATAGAACGCTAAAAATTGTCGTGGCAATGGACGTGTCAATATTTGCAAAATTCAGTATCCGGAAACGTTGAACTCGTGTACCACGCAATCCACGTATTGCTCAAACTGTGAAAAAGTACACACCTTTTCCGTTTACTTTCCAACGTAGGTGCCCGTAATTCCCATATAGGTAGGGTAACAACACGTTTTCGTCAAAGCGTTTCATCGGGTTTTAAAAGTTCTCCGTAGCGAGACGTGCGCTAAGCCTTTTTTCTGATCACCATTACACGCCGCGAACCCATAGAAGTTTACTTATTCAACTGTGCCGGGGTTTAACGCGATCACACGCGTGCGATGCATATTCACTGACGCCATGAATTTTTCCCTGCACGCGTGACCTTTCCTGCCGGCCTTTGTCTATGTGGTATATCGCCTACAAACGCGAGCGTGTTTTATTATGTGGGAAAATGGCCGGATTAATTGAACGATAAAGTAGACTTGGATTGAATGCGCTATAAAATATAGTTGACAGTATAATTTCCATTGATATTTAGGTCCTTACCTAATTTTCAGGCACGATCATTTTAATCGAATCGGGAATATTTTGTATGGTTTGCAGTGTTGCAGGGTATTAAATGTTTTTCTTAAACAATATTAGTGTAATAGTTCATAAACAATTGCCTTTTTTAATGCGTTAAATTTAATTTAAATGTTTATTGATATCAGATATCTGGCTGTAAATATTTGTTTACAATTTATTAAATGTTGAAACTTATAAAATATGTTTTTTTCCTTAAATTACGGACTTTTCTATTGTTTCTGTAGATATATCACTTTCATTAAATATCAATTAAAATTACGTGTATATTACGTGTATATGTATATAATTAGAAAACTCAATTTCATATGATATTTGTTAGCGAGAGAAGATCAAGAAACTGCTGCAAAGTAATCGACTTTGCTTATAAACGTACATGAACGATTAAGCGACTAATTATTTTCTAATTTTCATTGATTATATCTTCTTTCTCCTAACGGTAATTAAAGGCTCAACGCTAGAATAGCTGCACCTCAAAGTGTTCACTTTAATTCTAGACATTATTTTTAATTTGCGGTTTGTAACCTTTGCCACAACGCTATTGTTGTTTTCCTTTTCGCTTTCACTAATCTCAATTTGAAATAATACATTTCAAATCAATCTCAAGAGAGATTCTGAAGACTGTATCATGCGGGCGCCATCAATAATTGTCAGAAATAAAATGGATACGTCTCTTTAACAAAATTTGAAGAAATCATTTAGGTCAACGATGAAATTATTATTTACAAGAATAATATAATAATTACAAATTTATTTATCAGTTTTTTATACCAGCTATTACTTTATAAAGTAGCAATAAATCTTTTTGTAAACTGTCAATTAAATTAATTTGTTTCATAAATCAATATTTAAAACATCGTCGAATAAAAACATTTACATAGATACAATAGAAGCATTATGAAAATAATAATTTGAGAAATCATTACTAGCTGTTTTCATCGTAAATGTAGCATTTTATGTTTTCTATAGTATGTGTGGCAAACAGAGCATCATGAAATTGATTTAGAAAGCCCATCTTCGTAAACCGTCGAGGCAACATATTAACGTAGTTTCATCGTTATTTAAAGGCCAGACTCAAGTAGCAACACTTGAAGTCATCATAAACTATATCCATCAAAACTTATAAAAGAAACTACATCTGGTGTTCCTCGTATATACCTTCAATCTTGATCTTCAGTTATCTGACTTAGTTAATTTATACTGTATGACATAGTACACGTGATCCATTTCAAAAGTAACTCAATTACAATGAATTTTCTATGTAGTAATATTTTTAGACACTTCCATCAGATACAGATTAGAAATATCGATTAGATTACGGTAAAAATTTAAATTTTTGGAAGTGTTTTGCAAAGAAGTAAATTGTATGTGAACAATAAGGTATCATTAATAGGTTAATAAATCTTTGACAATTCCAGTTTTTATCAAATAATTAATGAAAATTTATAATTACACGACAATAGTAGATTAACTATACGTAGTAGGTTCTCTTGTTTATTACTTAGTATTTATTATATATTTATTATCTATTATTATAAATAAATTTTGTTTCTCTTTTTTAAATATACATTGATCCAAGGCGCTTTGTAAACAATATTAATCCGTTATATATTTTAAATCCCAAAGAAACTTTGCAATCGTTATTCTGTTAAAATTTGCTTTCAATTACGTTTTACCGGAAACAGGAAAAATGAAATTATCTATATAAAGTATTCATTAACTCGGTAATAACCAAGTTATTATACATCGAACAAATTTGAGATTATATTTAACCGTTAAAAATCGTCATGGGTGAAATTTAATACGACATGATTTTCGTTTTAATATTATTATAAAACGAAGAACTAACAACTGTTACCATCAGCTTTTAGACAAAATAGTATTCTATCAAAGTTATTTGCTTTCATTGATGTCCAAAATAAAGAAAAATGTACCAGAATACACAATGATAGTTTGTAGCTTTAACGAAATAATTCCAAGCTACAAAGCGAAGGATCATATATTATACAACCCATTATCCACATTGTTAATTCCTCTGACGTCTAATGTGTTCAGCTGGCATTTGAATATTTTATTCGAAGTATCTTGATGATGCTGCTCCTCGAAAATCGAACAGTAGGAGAATACATATTTCCACGCTAAACGTGTATGCTTACACACGATAACCGAACGAAAACGTCTAATTGACCCACGAAGCAATAAATCTTCGTTCTGCGGAGAAGTTAAGGACATTTACAACAGTATCCGCTGTCCGACGTGCCCTAAACGAGTGGAACGGCTTATATACCACAAATCCCAGCGACAGTTTTAAGCGTTTCCGACTTTCCCTCGCACCACGCGGTGGGGAACTGTTCGACCTGCAGGCAGATGAGAAAACATGGATCTGACCCTGAAGGGTGGACTGGTTTCAGCTACCTGCGGGCGACAGTTTACTCAAGCGTTTGCCGCTAGTTTTTACCAAAAAGATATCTCATCGAAGATGCGACGACAAAAGATGAGAGTTGGTAAACATCAGAGGAGTAGAAATTTGTAACATATACTATTGTTGTCTATTTTGTTTTGTCTTGTTGTAATTACAAGGGTTGCAGTTCTTTTGTGTTAATATCGTTTTATGATCCAGTAAAATTATTTTTGGAAAACCTTTCAGTGAATTTTGTATTTTGTAAGTTACTTTAACGTTTGTATTTTTGACGTTTCTATAATTCTACAAAGTAATGATATACTATGAAAGGAGTGTTCACAATTTTTTACAGTTTATGTTACTTTAGTTTATAATAATAAGAAATT